TTTCTCAATTATATGCAACTGACAATATGACTAACAGACGGAACACTCGTTCTCCTGGGAACGCTGCTCCCCTGTTCCAAGAATAAGGAGCCTTGGATCGGTTGGAAGAATGCATTATAGATGTGTCCCGGCCTTAAACATTAGGAAAGTGACCGAACCGACAGAGTGGGTGAGTTCATCAGTAGTTTTAAAAAAGCCTGATAACTCACTAAGGCTATGGTCCGAATATAACCAAACGTTAACCAAAGTAACCGAATCGGTTGACAGGAGGTTGCTGAATATTCTGGTCACTTCGGGAACGCGAATATGAAATAAAAAATATTTGACAGAAATTACAGGTAAAACCAACAGAACCGACATCCGATGACCGGTAACTTTTTTGACATTTGGTTAACCAGATTTCAGGAAACCGAGGTTCAAAAGTAACCAATTTTCCAGGAACCAAAGTAATTTGATTACTTTCGGACCGCGAAACCACAACCCTGGTTATATTCGGACCACAGCCTAAGATTATGTTTAGATCCTCAAAATTTAAATAAGTACATTCATTCTAAGAGAAAAATACCAACTCCCAACTTTCGAAAAATTAACTGCTAAAATGTTCAATACCTACATCAGTTTTCAGTATTTTAGACGGAAATAAAGGATTTTATCAAATTTCAGTATTTTATACGGAAATAATAAGAATTTTATCAAATCAAGTTGTCTAAACGTAGTGAGCTGTTAACCACTTTTAATGCTGGCAAATGGAGAAGGTATAGTTACCGAAGAATGCCTCATGGAATATCGTTTGCACCTGAAGTATTTCATAGCTGTTCCAAGGAAATTTTTTGAAGGAATTCCTGGAGTTGAAGTCTACATCGATGATATGGGGATTTACAAAAAAAAAAAAACATAATAAAAGACTAAATTTGGTGTTGGAACGTACAAGACAAGATAATGTGAAGTTTAATCGTACCAACTGCAAATACGGTCTTTGTGAGGTTCGATATTTTATAGGACATATTTTCAGCAAACAGAGATTGAAACCGGATAAAGATAAGGTTAATACAATACTAAATATGGAAACACCTACATCTAAAAAAGAACTTTTTTTGGGCATTGTTACATATGTGTCTAGATATTTGCCGAATCTGTCTGATGTTACAGGTAGTTTAAAAAGTTTTTTTTTTTGCTAGAAAAGCACCAGACAGGTTTTGTAGAAATATAAAAGACATACTGGGTAATGCTCCTGTTCTTAGGTATTTTGATATATAAATAAACCTGTTGTTTTGAGTGTTGATAGTAGTAGGTTGGGGCTGGGTACTGTATTGTTACAAGATGGCTTGCCAGTGGCTTATGCATCAAAAGCATTAATAAATAGCCAAAAAGCTCAAATAGAAAAAGAACCTCTGGTTTTTGGCTGTCAGAAGTTTCACTAGTAGCAAAGTATTTTCAAGAAACCACTCCATGAAAAACACTTAAGGCTTCAGCGGTTAGGGTTAAGGTTACAAGCTTATGACTTGACAGTTAAGAATAAACCAATTAAAGAGTGACTTGTGGCAGATTCAAGAAATTTCTAGTCAATCCAATAATAGAGACAGTTTTGCAGACTTTGATAGTAATGTAGAAGCACATGTGTGCTTCGTTTTTCAAAATTTACCTTTTATATCTGTCAAAATGAAACAATTTCAACAGGAAACTGCATCATCTGATACAATTTTGTAATTGATTATGAATTATGTAAGAAATGGCTGGTCTGAAAAAGCAGCATGTTGTGGGGAGACGTCAGGATGTTAAGGTCCTGTCTCAATTAGTTAGGTATTGGGCGTGTGGTCGCGTTGGGGAGCCAGTGACAAATAGCTAAATATACAATCATCATTATCTGGATTTCTAGAAATAGATTTACTAAAATTTGGGTAGCTATTAGGTAGGTAGGTACCTAATAAAAAAAAGTTATATTCTTGGAAAGTAGGTACCTAATAAGGTAAAAAAAAATACAAGACATTTTGTTCACTTAATAACCAATCAGTTTCATTAAAGCCTTTCAGTTTTATGTCTTTTAATCCTATCCCTTTCAGTTGAGTACAGAATCTCATTAGGTTTATTAGTAAAGTGCAAACTTGTTAGGTACCTAAGTATGTATGTTTCGGGATAAAAACATTTGAAAAGATTAGCCTTCACTTGCTGATTTTCTTCCAATATGTCCTCTTTTAATACCTGAGACGGTCAAACATGTTTCATTTTGGTTTGAAACATTCTCAAAATTCTAATCATAATTACAATTTGACCTGTTGATTTTCGGCCTCCAAATCTTCAGCATATTGTTGAAACAGACTTGACTTATCTACCTGAATCATATATACCTACTTAAAATCAAAAGTTCGTCTTTGTAAACCTTCAATATATTACCTGCAGTTTTGACTTTTTGCCATATAGATACAATAAGTTGAATTGCAACTGAAAATCTTTCTTTCCTTTTCTTATTACTTTATTTACATTTAACCCAATAATTATGAGGTTTAGGTATACTTCAAGATCATTTGTAATCTATAACCTCACCTATAATTTGTCTGATCCATGTTAGCTTTAATTCAATACCAGGTATAGCGAGCAAAAATAAACCTTTTGATTTCAAAGTTAAATTCAATTTAAATTTCTAAGAAATTCAGATAGGTATATACTTACCTAGTTTATTACAATCATGTCCTTGAGATAAAATTTCAATCACTTACAAGGCTCAATTAGACTGGACTTCACAAACTTTCAGCACTATGTCTATAATTTTAACTATGACGTTTTTGACTTGTTCCATAACTTCCTAATTTGTTTGCTGGACTTCCTAAAATCCACAATAAAGCATAGTTGTCCTGATGGGTCCATAACTTGATAATCAATAAAATTTGCAGTATAATACTTACATGTACCTTAATATTGTGGATAATCCATGCAGTGATATGAGCTAACTGAAAAAAAAAGGAACTCAGAACTCAGCAGCAGGAGTATGTAGGTATAGAAGTTGAAGTTTTTTGAGAATTTTCTACTCTATACGATGAGAAATAAAACAAATACTTAGGTTAAATCCATGATTAAAAATTCCAATTAAATTTAATTTCCGGTTAAATTCAAAATTCATGTTAAATGTTTATGAAAATCCAATACGGGAATGTGAAATCAGTTTTCCTCTAAAATTAACCGCTTCGGTTTTACAGCCTGTCAAAGTTCCAAAAAGTCAATTTTCAACTGTCAATATTTCCAAAACAGTTCAACTTAGGTGTAGGGTATATAACATGAAATCTGCTCAGAATTTTACGTAGAATCCAAATATGCAATCACATACAGGGTGTTCCATCTAAAATAGCGATGTTGCCGATGGTTTAGAGTAGAAGCGGCAACACCGCATGGTCAAACATGTTTTTGGAGTGTAGATCATGGTCGTTTATCCCAGTTGCCAAACTTTCAAAATGATACGCTTTTTAGTTCTCCATAAACGTTTTATACGCCATCCACCGTGGAACACCCTGTGTTGTATATTGAAGGTCCAAAGGGTTCTAAATAAGTTCAAAAGAGTTCCAAAAAGTTTTCAGGTTTCCATCAGTTCTAAAATTGAATCTTAATTGTTTAAAAATGACCCAGTAAGTTCTAAATTGAATGAGAAACGAATTCTGTGGGAAATTTTTGTAGACATATCAAAAACGTTCCTATAATGTCCAGACAAATGAGATTCAAGACATCTTGCTTACGTCTCTGAGGTGTCTTAAAGACATTTTGAAGTCTTTCAGACGTTTGCCTAAAGTCTTGTTTAGAACTAAGACTACATTCTAAATCTAAAGACAACTTCAACGAGATGTCTTTGAATCTCTTTTCAATAAATAAACCATTATTCACTTTTAGGTTTGATGGTTGTATCAAATAGATGTCTTTAACATGTGAATTCACGACATCTTATGGACATCTTCAAAGCAACGTCTTCTAAAGACGTCTTTTTTTGGTTTTTACACGTTAAGACGTAGAAAATCTGTCTTTAAAAACTTTGTGTGCTGTCTGGAAATTGCTCAAAATATTTAGATAATGTAGGTAGGTTTGTTTGGGTGCAGGAAAGTTAATCATAGAACAAATAGGTAAGACAGGTACTGAATTAGAAGCGTTTATGCAAATTCAAATTTTATTATAAAGCACTCTTTGTGCCTGTAGTCTATTTTTACACTCTGGTAACCTTGCTTCCAATCCATAATCATAAAATTAAAAGAATAATGACATGTCATGTCAGTATTATACGAGAATGAGTGAGTTAAATCTCCAAGGAAGACAAGATATAAAAAAAAGTGAAACGAAGTATATACCTACTTAAGTAAGTAGTATAACCCGGTAAACACGAGAACTGCGCCTACTATGCAATAATCATCACACTGATGACAAGTATGACAATAGTCATAAATTAATATGAATGACGTGGGATATGGATATTAGTTTGATTTCGCGTTCTTTTACATAATTTAACAAAGCACGAAATACCAAAACTGAATGACACATAATGTTTTGCAACAACAGCTATAGAAATTGTTTCTTAAAAGACATTGAGAGTTCATCTCTGTATAAAGTTGAACCAGATTTCAAAAATGCCTCATCATCAATACGAATTCTTCCCGACATGCAAAACGCAAAAGCCTTAATCGACCTCGTTATACCAACCCAACTAACATTCCGTCCTCACTAATTAACCAATTAGTCAAATTTCATATTGAAGCAAAAAAAAACAACAACCATCGGTGAAGTTGTATACATATCAACAAGTCGCCAGGTCGAAACGTGTTTTCACAGCCAACCTACCGCCAGCATTGGCCCAGCTTGAGCCAATACCAACCACCATTCGACATTTATTTTCTTGTTAGGCCAATAGCGGGGGTCCCGATTTCGACCAATGGCGTGCGCATTGCTACCTCCTTTCACTCCGGGTTTTCACAGCATGTTGCGTTTGCCGCCAGGGCCTACGATTCAGTCATGCTGTGTATGCTCAGCACGAAATATCCTCTACACTCGCTCTACAAGCAGCTAATCCAAGTTATTTTTATTTTGAGGTGAAAATAGTTGCGCTCGCGATCGCGATTTTTCAGTTTTGAATAATGAACATTAGTGATTGATTTTTTTTTTAGTGAATTAGTGAAGTTTTTTTAACGATGATTAACGCGTTTATGGATGGTAGTCATCACCATTTGAGTGCTTATGGGTTGAAGATGTCACCGACGCACAATGGTGGAGCTGCGCCGATACCAGCACCTCACCAAAACCCGGCGGCAGCTATGACCGCTCCAGACATGGGTCCTGGTGGTCAAAATCATCATTTCCAAACGAATTATGGCCACATGAGTCATCTTAATCCACATCCTGGTTATGCAGCTAGAGACTTTTTACTACGCCGAGATCACCATGATTTTCCTACGGCACAAACAGCTCCTAGTGATTCAATGTTGTTCCACCATCACTCAGAAATGCCTCCTCATCATAACCTACACTTACCACCTCACCATCAAATGTTATACTCACGCACCGACCATCATGCGGCTTACCACGCTCAACCTAACCACCAATACATCAACCACCATACAATGGCAATGCCTCACCATCCTAGCAACATCCACGGTGGTTTTTTCAAATACATGCGACCAATCAAACAAGAAATGCAATGTTTATGGATAGATCCAGATCAACCACCTCCCAAGAAAATATGCGGCAAACATTTCACGACGATGTCGGAAATCGTCGGACATTTGGGTGTCGAGCACGTGGGTGGGCCGGAAATAACGAATCACGCGTGCTACTGGCAAAACTGTTCCAGGAACGGTAGACCGTTCAAGGCGAAGTACAAACTGGTGAACCACATTCGGGTGCACACCGGCGAGAAACCGTTCCATTGTCCGTTTCCAGGTTGCGGGAAAGTGTTCGCACGTAGTGAGAATTTGAAAATCCACAAACGGACTCATACAGGTAGGAATTTTCTTTATTATATAAAGTTTATATGTTCAACGTTCCGTCGGATACATTTGATATTTTTCTGGAAACTGCCGATAGATGTAATAGCAATAGGAAACAAGTTTTTGAAGCGTTCTTTGTTTCCCAGGCGTTATTTTATGCATATATTCGCGGCCTTCCTACATTATCGAGACATGTGTCAAGTTTTTGCAATTCTGTAAGGACTTCAAGCAACATTTTGCATCTCTGTAGAATCTTTTTGAGTGTTCAAATTTACTCCTCAAAGTTCCTTTTCCATATGATTATTCAGTGTTCAAATTTTGATTATATGGCTCTTGATTGAGCAAACAATGTTTCTAGGGATGATCCAGAGCTGGTATTACTTCAAATCTTGATCATTTGGCTTTTGATTTTGAGAACAATTTCTCTAAAGATATGAACAAAAGCCGGTTTTAATCCAAATTTCGATTATTATCAGATTACGAAAACAGTTCATCTTAGAGGTAATCAAAATTCCCAAGATTCTCAAGATTTTTTATTTGATGATTATACCTTCATATTTTGCTGGTGGTCTCTTCTTCACCTTTTTCAATAAAAATGAAATTATTCCACCTCTTTTTTCCTTATTTTCTCCCGGACTATTAGGAATAAATCTTAAAAGCCTATAGGATAGTATATTTGAAATCAGGTTTGAAAGGCTAATCCAATGGGTCAATAATATACGGGGTGTTCCATTCAAAAAAGTTCATTTTGCTGATTGTGATCCCTGTCATTTTGCTTTGCCACACTTTTGTGACACACCCTGTATACTTGTAACTAACTTCATTGAAAATTTTCTGATATTACCTACAACTTTCACGTTTGACATTTCTGGGTATCTCTTCAAACAAGTGAGGTAGCTGTGGGACGTAAATGGAATGGTATCAGCATTTATCACGCCTGAGGCAAATTTTCAATAGAGTAAAAGGGGTGGCCCACTTTGTCTTACCCATTCTTAGACAAGGCTAGGTGAATTTATTATATTCCACCATTGCTCGTAAACATGTACAGTCATGAGCACAAAAAGTGGGACCCCCGACTGACAGAACTTGTCATTTGTCGCTATTTTGCGTAAATCAGTCTTTTCTCTACAATCAATTTTTTGTCAAATATGACAATCCCTGTCATTACCGTAGGTGTAGCTGGTGAGCCCGTTTTACAATAGGAAAAAACGGGTGTCTCACTTTCTGTGCTCACGGCTGTACGTGTGCGACAGAGCAAACAACCCCTTTTATTGTCGTTCTCACTACCATACCATTTGCCTCAAAAGTGGATATTGAGAGCAGCTGTTAGGTCCTTTCCAGTTACGTGTAGTATATAAGTAGTTCATTGGGTGTGGGTGCTAAATATAGACAATCACACGGTACTTGTCTCAGAGTTTTGATTTCAAATTAGTACCCAGCTTTATTTGGGAAAGTCTAAATACCTGAAATTCAACTAAAAATTTAAATCTCAAATTTGTGTTCTTTGAACAAATTACTGGAGTTAGTCTATAGAACTCCTTTGAGTATAGGAAAATTGACTTTTGTAGAACCTGCACGAAAAACCCTCAATTTTCATAACTCAGTTTTTTAATTGCTGGTGCGAAGTTCATGGAGCAACTAGCTTCGTGAGAAACTTCCAATGTGACTCAAAGGGCCCAAACATCTCAAAATTCAAATTCGAAATTTGAATCTCAAATTCATGTCCTCCTGGAACTGAGTGCTGTTAATGGCATGTAATATTGGCAGTTGAGTTGTAGAGGACGCTTCTGTACTTGGAGCTCTTTATATTTTGGCTCGTGAATAATTCGAGTGTAATTTTAACTTCAAAAGTTTAGTTTTTCGTGTGGTTTCAAGACAAGCTGACGCTGATACTTTTAAAAATATTTTCAAGGGTCACTGGAGGATATTTCAACTTATTCACTGTCCATTGTTCATATTCAGTCGTCTTTTCTTCTACTCATTAGAACGTTTTAAAACTATTGACATTTACCGCCAAAATTGAAAGCACTCCAAGTTCACTCGCGCCCTATACAGAATTTTGGGGAACTTAACCGGATATTTGCTGCCATTCAAAACCCTTTTTAGTCTTAGAGCAATCAATTTATACCCTTATCTTCTCCTTCTTTGAAGAAACTTTCATAGTGTGCTTGAAGGGCCCAAAAATCTGAAAATTTGGATCTGAAATCTGTACCCTCTGGAACAATTTGCTGTTAATTTAAAACCCTTTTTACTAATGAAATTGACTTCTAGAATCTACAGGAACTTGAATTATCAGAATATCCAAATTTTTGAGAAAAAAATCAAATCTTTAAGACACTTTTCTAAGAGTTTTGATCTCAATTAAATTGATATGGAGTCCTCCGGGAACATCTATACATCAAAATAGGTACCTACCTAATTCAACTGAAAATTTGAATCTCAAATTTGTGTTCTCTGAACTTATGACTGAAGATAATTTAGAACCTTCAAGTACCTATAGGAAAATTGACTGTTCTAGAACCTGCTCTAAATAACGCAATTTTTCAACCCTCTTTTTTTGAATTACTGTTGCCAAGACATTGGGGCACGCCACAGCCCTTCTTATGAGTTTCTTAAGAAAGTTCCAATATGCTAAGAAGGCACAACAATCTCCAGTTCCATTAAGAAATTTGTATCTGAAATTTGTGCCCTCTGAACACATTGAAATTTTTGAGGAAAAAATCCAATTTCTAAGACCGTTAAAATACTTAATTAACTGAGAATTTGAATCTGAAATTTGTGTTCGCTACTGCACTTATTAGGTATCGAAGGTTAATCTAAAATCTGCACAAAATAACCCTATTTCTCAGCCCACTTTTCTAGAATTACTTTTGTCAAAACCTTGGAGCACGCCACAGCCCTTCTGACTGTCAAACCTAAAAATATGACAAGCGTTGTTGGCTGGCGAAAATTTCCGACGCGGATAGGTGGCCAACGTTGAATAATTCTTAAGAGCTTCTCAAGAAAGTTTGGAAATTTGGATCTCAAATTCTTGCCCTTTGAACAGGCTGCTGGTAATTAAAGCCCTTTTTAGTATTGAGAATTGACTTCTAGAAACTATATAGGTGCTCGAAGAGCTTCTTGTCACAAGTTAGAGATCCAATCTCTCAAGTTAAAAATTTAATTTTCAAGACACTTTTCTAAGATTTTGATCTGAAATTGGTGCCGAGCCCTTCGGGCACGCCATAGGTCTTGGAGCAATCAGTTTATACACTTATTGAGGACTTATGACCATTCGAAAGACCTGCAACTAATTTAGAACCTCTTTTAGTAGGTATAATATGAAAATTCGGTTCTAAAATCTGGTGGTGTGTCCAAAGAGCTGGGCATCAATTTTAGATTAAGGATAGAATCCATTTTTTAACATACCTACCTACCTACTTGATGTTTAAGGGCCGGTTCGACAATTCAAGTATATCCTATACCTAGAATAAAAGTTCATTTTTGAGTTTTTATTAACTTTTATTCTAGGTATAGCCTAATACTAAGGATAATTGTCGAACCAGCCCTTAGAGTTTTGATCTCAAAATAATGACCTGAAAAGGAGTGAATTAGAATAGCGATTTTCAGTCATTACTCTGATTCACTCATTAACAAACTATTCAGTGAATAATTGACTGTTTTGCTCATTAGTTCAAAAATTCACTAATTTTCAAATCAAATGAATGACTTAAATTGTTGCTGCAGTACTCGCTCCGCTCGTCCCGCAGATTTCTACTCATTTTTGAACCTCCTACTCTGCCTTTTACTTATTAATGAACTGTTTCAAATAAAATAATGACCTGACAATGGGTGAATTAAAGGAGCGATTTCCAGTCATTACTGTAATTGATTCATTAACAAACTTTTCAGTGAATGATTGAGTGTTTTGCTCATTAGTTCAAAAATGCACTAATTTTCAAATCAAAATCGTTCTTGATGGACTCAATACTGAGTAAATGGCTACAGACACGTGGCACGTCAAAATAACTAAAAATTTAAATATCAAATTTGGGTATTTTGTACAAACTACTGAAGCTAATAAAGAAAAATTGAATATTGTAGAACATGCACAAAAACGCTCCAATTTCTCGACCCACTTTTCTAAAATTTTTGGTGCCAAGATCATGGAGCAATCAGTTTATACTCTTATCAAGCTTCTTGAGAAACTTCCAATATGCTCAAAGGGCCTAAAAATCTTAAAATTCACATTGGAAATTTGATATTTCAAATTTGTATACTCTTTGAACAAACTACTGTTAATTTTAAACCCTTTTTAGTAATGAAAATTGACTTCTAGAATCTATAAAACCTTGATTGGCACAATTATTTTAGGTAAGAAATCCAAATTCTCGAGAAAAAAATCCAATTTTTGAGAAACTTTTCTTCGGGCATACCACAGTATGTCTTGGAGCAATCAATTTATACATTTATTAAAGACCTGTAGTGTGCCGGAGTGGCACAAAATATGAAAAATTCAAAATTTGAATCTAAATAACCCTTGAAATAAGCTGCAGTCCATTTAGAACCTCTCTCCGTATGAAAATTAATTAATCTAGAACCTGAGTCATATCCAAGAAAAAAAATACAATTTTCAACATACTCTAAGTAAAAGCAAAATACCTAAAATTCAACTAAAAATTTAAATCTCAAATTTAAAAAAAACTTCAATTTTTGACCAACTTACCGGTGCCATATCTTGGGACACGCGACAGATCCAATTTATACCCTCAAGGGTCCAAAAATCTTAAAATTCAAATTAGAAATTCGTGCCCTTTGGACTAATTGCTATATAGGTACATACTTGAAACCCTTTCTAGAAATGAAAATTGACTAAAATCCATGGATTCCTAAGACCTTGGCACAATCATTACCTATAAGATTCAAATTATCCAGAAAAAATTTACTTGTTCAAGAGGTTTGATTTCAGATTGGTTTCGGGTACGTCACAGATCTTGGAGCAATGAGTTTATACACCTATTAAAGACCTGTGGT